AGTTAGTTACATTTTTGGGTTCAACACCGACATAACAATAGCCCCTGCTATTTTTGTTATTGTAGATTGTTTAATTGGTTTATGTTGTTAAACAAGTTCAAGAAGGTGTATTATGGTTTAGGAGCTAGGTAGGAGAGCCTAGTGTCCTAGAGGAGGTTTCTTCTTTTCTTCCATTACTAGTAAAACTCCGATGAGAGGTGTGGACCAGAATGATTTTATTCGCCAAACTACGCTACTTATATTTCTATTTACATATTTACAACTAGACAATATCAGATATAGTTAGATGATAGTTTCAACCAATAGCGGCGCGCCGGCGTGCGCGGGGCGCGCGGGGTGCGGGGCGCCGCTTTGCACACGGCACTATCGGTTCCTTCCGTATAAGTATGACCGCGCGGCGCGAGCGCGCGCATTTCTGCGAGCGCCGGCGTCGAGTGAAGACTGAAGACTACCTACAGATGAACAATGAAGATACGACGAATGAAAGTGCTCCGGCTCCGGCTCCGCTTGCGCTGCTTGGCTGCTTGCTTAACCAAACCGCTTCTTTCGAAGCGATCGCTTGCGGCACGGTGTGATAACGCTGTTGCCGCAGTGATTAATATCGTTTCTATGCGAGAGAGTCGTAAACTGTCTTTTTCAAGACAATTGGTTTCTTGTTTCTAAAAACGGAGTCAAAACGTAAACTGTCTTTTTCAAGACAATTTGTTTCTTGTTTCTAAAACGAAGTAAGTCTAAAACTTTGGTAAAGGTATTGTGGAAGGTATATGGTAAGGTATTCGGTGGTACTGGTAACTGGTAGGTATGTAGTCGTGTGGTGCGGCTACAATGGTATAAAACTAAACGAAAGTAGTAGATTTTATTTTGTTTCATAATTTGTTATATCATTAACCTTAACAAGTATTTTGTTGATTTTGTACCCAAGGCTGATAGAAACAATGACTGATAATTGTATTTGGTTTGTAATAAATAAAAAGTTTAATTAATATACCTATTATGTGTTTTTGATTTTAAATAGTTATGATTCATAGTACCCCATTTGATCCAGTGTGCCTCAAACTCTGATCCAATGTGACCCACTCGTGGGCCACAATGGATCATTTCAGTGTATGAGAAAAAAAAAACATTATAAAATAAACCAACCTATAAAGATCCATTGAGCCACATGTTCCCCTACTTTTAACAATTTTGTAAAGCTGAAGATCACGATCAGGGTTACGTATTTCAGCACAAATACTATTGTCAATTCGATCCGAAGTGATGCGATGTCTTAAAAGCCTGAAGCCTTAAAAGTAAATGAATATGCGGAAGACCTCGCTTTAGCTATTCCGTTAAATAATACAACATATCTCACTTCATCTAATATTTTCCCTTTTATCAACAAATTCATGACCTTTTTTACCTTTAATCGAAAGACATGCGAAATAGTATCGTATCGATCGTGAGATTTTTGTCCTGAAAGTACGTGCTCGTTTAAGTCGCTCCAGTGTGAGTTACATGTAAAAGTTATAAAAAGGGTTGGGACGACCGTAATGTCTAATATAGGTCATGGCGTCTTACGTTTTTTCGTGTATATATCTTGGCACACCAGTAAAAGATGATGGAACTGAGGGAAGCACTACCATTTGTCTCAGTTGACTTGCTTATCTTGCCGTCCAATTGCATCTTTTAGATGAATGTAATAAATTATCCGTGCGCAAATTGGCTTGATTGTTTTTTTATATAGTTTAGTCTTTCAGAGTCTATTTTTGCATATTCATCTACCAAATATTGACTAAAAAGGGCGCGATATTTAACGAAAAAGTTATCTTCTTCTCTGATCATTATAATAAAAATTTACAGCAGAAACTGTGATTTTTCAAGGTCAATTTAGTTGTGGGATCGCATTGTGGTATGTTTATTGAATAGTCGTCATCCCCCCCAGCAAAATATCAATGGGTACTGCAGCGCGTCATAAGGTCGATGTATTTCACTGATACGCTGAAGTGAGTTACCCCGGCTTTCGAGGATGATGTCTCTTCGGTCAAACTGCTGATCTACTAATACAACAGCCACTTCATGTGCTGTTGGTGCATTCAATCTGTCTGTGTTCTCTTTGTGGTTTTTTTATCTGCATGTATTACGACCTTGAATGACTAAAGATGATATTTTATCAAGGGCTGTTTTTAGATCTTTTAAGTATGGGTTCACATAAGATGTAATTTGTTTAGTTAAATTTGGTCTTAAATCAGAAAATTTAGAATATCGAATATTACCTTCATAGAATAGACAATCACCGAATCAGGCGTGGGTGACCATCCCGTTCCTACTCCTACTTTGAGTGCGACACAAACTTGACCAAAACTATTCCTTCCCAGACGTTTGACGCCATCGATTTTAACGTTGTTAATATAAATAAATAAAAACATTCTGAATTTGACTGGGTGTAGCGTGGTGCCAGATGTCTGAGTCCTTAAAGGAAACGTAAACTTTATAAGCGAGTTATCCCTGGCCGTGTAGCACTGTCTACCGTGAGCACGTTTTGCCAATTTTGATGGATTATTCTGGGAGATAGGAGGGGAGCCGGCATGTCGTTTCCTGCTGTTCGCGGTTTCTAACTCCATTGTTTCAGATTCCGGGGTGTTGGGAGGAAGGGTAATTGTTAGAATTGCTTCCATGTCATATTCCGGAGATTTGTCAGGAGGTGGTTTCTCGTCTATTTTGGAGATTAAAAAGTCGTGGGAAGAGGTAACAAGTGGTTAAACTTACTTAAAATTACCAATACCTAATTAAAACTTACACACACAATTAAACGACACGACAACCCAATATTAAAAGATTTCAATTCAATTTCACTCATAGTGATGAGTGAAATCACTAAAATTGACAACGAACGTAGGAAAACCACAAAAGCACGAGCGTAACCTTCACCGTTACCAACGAATGTCTCAACCAACCCTTTCTTTTCTCTTTAGCAGCTGAACAACCAACCGTTATTTTTTTTCTCTTTGGCAACCGAACAGCCAACCCTTATTTATTTTCTCTTTGGCAACTGAACAACCAACCGTTATTTTTTTTCTCTTTAGCAACTGAACAACCAACAATTATTTTTTTTCTCTTTGGTAACCGAACAACCAACTCTTATTCACCTAATAAAAACCTAATACGAATTAGACATGACTTTAAGTGCTCAAAATGTCAAGTTGTCATAATTATTTTCGCAATAATGCAGGAAATACTTTTATATGTAATAGATATATTTATAACAAAGTGTGTGATGCTGAAATACAAACAGAATTAGACATTAGGTACAACGAAATGAAGGACAAGGTAGTAATACCTCTCGAAAATCATATACAGATACTAGCGGACCCAACAGACGTTGTCCTGCATATCCACTTGAATGTACTTATTACCTAAACAAAAATTCATTCAAATTAGTTCAGCTGTTTAGGATAAATAAACTAAACATCGATTGCAGCCCCATCTGCCGGGCTGATTTGTGAATCTAAACCATTCCCAGGTCCCCTTGAACACACATAAAATTTCATCAAAATCGGTCCAGTCGTTTGAGAGAAGTTCAGTGACACACACACTCACAGAAGAATTATATATAAAGATGACAACTTCAACAGAAACAACTCATTTTACGGGATTTACATTAATCCTTAATGACGAGCAACTTATAGACCTCGCTGGTATAATATTCAACAATTTTCGATTCTTTTTAAACATGTAAGCAACTAGATAGGTAGACTCTAGATAGACTCTTAAATACAATACTTCTAAAGACGAAAAACTTCTCAATTTTTTTAATAAAACTAAATTTTGGTAACATTTTCGGTTCTAAGCGTTTTGTTTGGTGTTAACAGACCTATAATTTCAAGGATTTTCTATACAACTTTAGAAAATTTTGCGAATCAACAGTTAATTTTGTTTTTTAGCCAATTAAAGATACCTACTGTACAAGCCACAATATCGGACTGTTTCCATTAATCTTTTGTCCACCAGAGCGTAAAAGCATCGCCGGTCCTATGCCGAGCCACAAATTCAGAGCAGATAGATACCTACAAATCCAATTCCAACATCTTATCAATTACCAATTAATCATTGTCGCCACCTTTTAAATAGTACTTGTAACACCATTCTTTGATTATTTTGACCCTATTTCGAATTATACTAGGTACCAAAAAAGCAGTTACAAATGTTGACGTCAAACGTAGAGGATAATATGCATATGCCTCCAAAATACCTGAACTTCATATTTATTTTGATACTAGCTTTTACCCGCGGCTTCGCTCGCGTCACAAAAGGATAAAAAGTAGCCTATGGGACATATAGCAATATATACAGCGCCATCTATACCAATACTTTTGTTTTCCCTCGGGAATATCAAATTTTTTGGAATAAAAAGTACTCTATTATTTAATCCAGACTACTAACTTTACGTCTGTAAAAATTCAATGCAATCGGTTTAGTAGTTACGGCGTGAAGTCGGAACAAACAAACAAACTCACTTTCCGATTTATAATATTAGTAAGGATAAGGATTTGTTGCGGAATTTTGAAATTAGTGTTTATAGTGATTTTATACAAAAACCACCACCACTAGACCATTATGAAATATGGCACTTTGGCCACTTATAACTGTCAGTTAGGCGCTCCACCCACTGCACCGCGACCCGTCGCGTAGCGGGATGGCAGATTTTACCACTGTATGCAAGTCTCTCAATTTATATAGAAATCACGCCTAGCAGAATGCACTGCCGGCGCGCGGGATGAGACTCCAAATTCAAAATACTAAACAAACAAGAAGCTCTCAATTCATTCTCAAGCATTAGACAATGATGGAAACTAAAGAAGTTTGTAAAGAGCTCAGTAACTGCCTAACTGGCGCTTTGTAGTTTCTGCGCCCTATGAGACACAGGTGTCACTTATGTATATCTTTTTCAAGTTTTGTATGAATTTAATGTTAAAAATAAACTATTGGGGTATGGAGTTGGATAAATAATAAAACAACAATAATCCCTTTTGTATATACATTTATTTTTATTTTTTTTTCAATTTTAAGTTATTGTTTACCAGATATATACTTTCATATATAATTATCAATTGTCTATAGAATATATACAACTTAAATACCTGAAGGTCCTTATGAACAACTACATTGAGTCTTATAATCTAGGTGGAATCATTTCGTTATATCTATTTGAACGTGAAAAATGCAATTTTCACACACAAAACGAACGAGTCTGATGAAGGGCAAATTATATTAAAACTTAAAACTGCAAAATTAATATTTTACCCTGAATTTCAAGTAGAAGAAAGTGTATTGCAAGTACTATGATTTATTATTTTGTAAATTGTTTATTAACATTTACAACTCGACAATATCAATGTGGTTGTCTTTGGAAGAAAGTTTCGATTGATAATAATTATTATAAGCTAATGTCTAGTATTGTTTGAATGTTAATTTGGGGATCGGATACTCAATGTCAATGGTTTAATGTTAAAGACATTTTAAACAAGTATGATGTCCAGTTTTTTGTTAAAAATAAATTATCCTGTGAAGTTTCGGAACGCAGATTACGCGACACAATGTTTTCTATTGTGTCTCATAATGTCGACAGACAAGAGGTTAAATACAATATAATCACAGGTCATTTAACAAGATGTCATAAAACTATCTGTTATACATAATTAGTTTAATTTAGACTTGTTATTTCACAACAATATCCCGGTTGGTTAATCCACAAAAATTCGAAGCCATTTCAATTCGATTCTATTAGTCAATCTTTTAAATGTCTTTCTTTCAAAACTGTACTGCATTACTCACATTACAGTTGTCGAGTTATAAAGGGTTTGAAAACAAAAAAGCTGCAATATTATACTGATCATTTCTTCCACTTTGTACTATCACTGACCGTTTGCAAGAAATTGGTATTTTGAAAGGTCTATCTTTAAGTAACTTGCCTACAAAGTTCTTATACCCTTTTGAGTAGGTAGCAAACAGCTCATACTTGGAAGGCGATTTATCCAAAAATCTTTGACCCAGAGACGTTAAATCTATCTTTATTTAATTATGAAACCCTTCAAAATATGTTAGTTCGTCAAACTAGGTTTTAGTGGTTATTATACAGATCGGGTGGGTTTTTAGGAACTTAAAATAGTCGAGTCTGCTTGTGACCGCATTCACTGCAATGAAAATCCACGACAATACCCGTGTACGTGAAAATATAAAATTACTAGCGGATATAAAGATTAACATAAAATGGAATACTTTCTCTGAGCAAATATTTGGAAAATATTTAGATAGGTAATTTAGCAAAACAAAATATTTGAATAATTCTTCTAAATTCAAGTTATATCGATATCAAAATATTGTATCATGCAAAATCGTATAATGTAACGCAAAATGCCCGACGCATTTCATTGCGGATTGACTGTCAGTTAAAATTGTGTTAATCATCTATTTCGTAAGTCTACTCTTCTTAACAAAACTACAGTAAAAGCCTACAAATAAAATGGCGGCACTTGCACCAGAAACCTATTTAGTTTTACCATAGAACTAACTCACAGATATTTGTTCTTAAAAATATTAGGCACAAAAAATCTTACGTTATGCGACCAACATGACTGGCGGGCTAGATCATAAATAATGTACGAAAATAATATGCTATAAGAGACTTAACACTAAGGATTAGTAAATAAATGGAGCGCTAAGGTCTACGTCGCCTTACAGTGGAACATCCGTCAATGGATACGCATCACCGCTCCGTCCTGGCGAACGATAATCCGTGCCATCTCCTTCGTACGACGCGAGTGCGAATCTACAAAAAAATATACCAATCAGCACTCCGTTCGTCACTACTCCGTATTGGTAAAGCTTCGGCAGTCATGTTGTCGCAACCGCGACGTCAATACATTTGTGTAGTTCCTTGCAAACGGCCTGACACCCTAGCCCTACGTGTGACAGTGCCAGACTTACATGACGCCGTCCCGCCCTCGCGCCATCTGCAAATAAACAACACCCGAATATCTCGTACAATAATACGGACCTTCATCATATCACTTTATACCTCTAAAACATTTTTTTTTTTACTTTTTCCTTTATAATGTCTAATGATATTTTGATAACTTACGCAGCCACGATGCGTTGTCCCCGTATCACATCTATGGAGCATACAAAATTATTTGAGAATAGCTAGACTTGATAAATATTTATAGACACAATATTGTTACACATAATCACACATTTAAGAGTAGGTATCGAACCTACAGTTCATGAGCTCTGGCACTAGTAATATCAAAGTGCAAAAGTATTGCAAGCTACATGCTTCAAAGAACAGGATGAGACTACGATAACTAGGCGATTAAACAAACTCTCTACTCTACGTGATTAAACAGGTAATTGTAAAAGTTTAAAGCCTGTAAAACTTACGTCGAACTAAGTTTCACGCTAGCCCGACCAATCGCGGCTGGATACCGCAGGGGTCAGTGTGGAGAGCCCAATACTCAGCTATACCATTTGAATTATACTAAATCTAAAATTGTGTTTCACTTAAAATTCCCAGTTGGCAAGTCATTCCAAGACGTACACCTAAACAGATATGTAAAGTATCGAATTAGGTTCTGTCCGATTGTGTTAACTCTTCTACTTCATTGCTTATTTAAGGTGAGAGTTGGTAACAAATGAAGTGCGACTATGGTGGGGCTTACGCGAATAATATGTTACAAATATCTCATCAAATCTGACTAGCCTTAGTAGAAAAAAGGAATATTTCAAAATGCCAAATTCCCTAAAGATCCTATGTGTATCAAAATCTAAATCTATATATATTGGCACTCCATTTGCTAACTGCTCTGTATTTGTATAAATTTATGAATAGTCAATCACAGCAATGGATCAAATACTCACCATTATGAAACCGTCAGTCCTAATCAGCAGGGCAACACCAAAACGTCACATACTTGCACCATTAAAATTGCAATAATTGTTCGAATCTTAACTATCACAAGTTCTTACACACTATAATCACATAAGTCTGTTGATCACTTAGTTCACTGTCTAACATTTACACACGTTTTCTGGTGAGCTTGACGTTGGCGGTTCCATAAATGAACCTGGTACGCCATTCCTCGTACTGCTACGTACAGGCGATGGAGTTTGATGTGGAAGGTGGATGCTCAGCCTTGTCTGCGGCGGGCTTCGGTCGCGCGATCTCCGCCTCGGTCCCTGCATGTTGCGCCGCTCCGTTGTGTAAGTTCACTTCGTATACGTTAGACGAGTTGGAGTCCTCATTGTATGATAATACGCCGACTTCCTCCGTCTGTGGATGATTGTGATTGGTTTAGTAACATAAATCAGTTTATTACAACCTTCGATCAACAATAGCAACTAGATAAAGGGTTACGTACAAAATCAAGCTCCAGTTCTGTCCGTGTGAATAATAATAGTAAAAAAATAACAAACAGAGAAAAATGTTTTAAAATGGTTTTAAGGTCAACCTAATAACAACCATGGCACCTAATAATAAAGTCATAAATCGCCAAAATATTATCTAATACTTACGACCATTTGTCATATAAGACGAGAAAAGCATTTTCTTACTCTTGTCATGTAGAAATTAAAAGACATAAGTTATTCAATATCTAGTTTGAATACAACCTTAACCTAGAACAAATAAAGATATTTTTTCCGTTATTGCCTTGCAATGTTATATCGTTTTGTTTTGTTTCGTTTTTGTTTTTCGAATTTCGAATTTCGCTACAGGAGGTATGTATGGAGTAGCGTTGAACACTAAAATAATTTTATAAATTATGAAAATTAATATTTCGGGATCTTAGTATACATCACTTATTTTTATTAGCGGTACGTTTTTGTGTATGATATGTTTATTTACTTTATTATTAAAAGTTTAAGTCTAAGTCAAAATCATTTATTTTAGTTAGACCAGGAAGGCACTTTTGAACGTCAATAATATAAATTTAAAAGTGAACTATTTGCTCATTCCTAGGTGTAGATTCCTATGGAGCAGAACGAGCAAGAAGCTTCATAGGTTAGGTACTCTATTCCAATCAGGTTACAATACAATTTTATTTTACAATACAAATCGACTCCATGCATCCACTGTTCTGTTTAAACAAATGTTTGTGCGCGTGTTGGCGATGCTTGGCCAAGGGATCGCCAACATACGCACAAACATTGGTGGTGTTGTTTTATAATTGGTAATTTTGTCTAATTTGATATTATTTACTAGTTTAAAAGCTTAATAACGTATACTTTATGTACTTATCGTAAGTAAGACACTCCGGCCGTTAGGTATACTGCTTTTTCGGTTATTATTTTTGCAAATTGCAATTACGCACTGCGGCATCGTGAGACGTGAGCACGTTGGCCGTGTTTGGAGCATACTAAACAAAATAAGAGCTCACTTCTCAAGTGAGCTCTTATTTGTCGAGACGATTTTCTTGCGCCAACCCGATATCTAGTTGTTATTGTTGATCGAAGATTACAACTTATAATGGGAAAGTATTTTCATTGGCCTATTTGATTGCAAGCAATTCAAGTCAACACGGTAGTTGACAACTAGTCAAATTCAATACTTTTATCGAAACGTCAAAAACGATACTGTTCTATGAATTTTGTAAGAAATACCATCTTATGACGTCATCATATTTTCGCGTCAAATAGCACACTTACGCACACGCACGCACGCTCTATAAATCAAAAATTAAGCATATCGGCAAATCAATGAATGAAAGTGTAAAATATTTGAAAAATATTGAAATTGGTTGGATGTGAAGAGCTACAGATCGAGCTAAGGTCAACTAACTGGTCATGTCAATAATATTTATAAAAAGTAAGAAAATGGTTGCAAATTGTTCTACAAATTATTAAAAAAAAGTAGTTACGCTGCTCTCGGAGAGTCGTTTGGTCTTCTTTTGAGGTCCAGGCGGTGGTGGCGGACGGTCGTGTATCTTGCGCTTAGTGCCGGAGGAGGTCCGCTCGCGACGCAGTAAGGAGGCGGAGAGGTACTGGTGCAGCTGCTTACGTCGGACATGGCGCGCCTGTAATAACATTGCAAAGAAGAAGGATCACAATCCATACAAAATAACCAACATCCTATAATAAAAAAAGATAAAATTGTACCAAAAAATATGGCATACTCCTTTAATTTTTAAACATGCATATAGAAAAATTGCTTTGAAAATAGTTTGAGCGCTGTTATGAAAAATTCGTTCGTATTTCAAAATTTTTTTTGTTTTAATTAGTTCCTCGACCATAAAATCAGGTCTCTGGTCTACACGATCCAGGGCCTTTAGCCAAACGCCACTTTAGCGCTTGTCTACAGAGAGAGTAGAAATCAAAATGTATGGGGATGACACTGACAAGTGTCAAAATTTACGTCAATTCCATATAATTTGGTTTACTATTCTACATGTAGACAAGCGCTAAATTGCATTTGGCTACAGCTGCTGGAGTTCTATTGTGAGTTAAGTTTTGCAGAAATCATTTAAAAAGATTCACAGTACATTACCAATACTGTAGGAATGATAACATAATACGGTTTTTATATACTGTTAATGGGATATGGGTTGGTGACAATGATATACAGTAAAATGGGGTGAATAGAATTCGAGGGGTGAATAGATACAGAAAAGGGGTGAATAAATGTTGGGAAAATATTCTAACACCTTTTTTTTTCACACATAACATACAAATATCCTTACAGGCTAGACCCAATGCGATATTGCAGCAAATATTAAAATAACAATAATAAACAAAATACAAACAAGAAATATCCATATACTCTATAGAATATATAATAAGATAAAGAATATATAATAAGCTTTTACTACATATAGCAAATCCTATGCATGGCTGCTCGTGTAAATTCTCCTAAAGAGCAACAGAATATGTTCTACGTCATTAGCAACGAGGTCCAGAGTGCGAAGTGTGAGCGGTGCCTCCCGCAGCAAGTTAGTTCGCGAACGTGGTTCTGCCAGTAACCGCGGCTGGCGACGACGACTCACGTATCCATCGGGCACGACCAGTTCAACCCTTCGCAATATATCCGGATTGTGTATCTTCCCCCTAATTATTTTAAAGATATAAGTCACCAATGCGAGTTGCCTCCTGACCTGTAGTTCATTATATCCAACCATACCCAAGACAAACAGAGTTGGATACATTAATGGGTAGAATGGATATACCCCGAACTCTCTCATATACTTATATCTCATGAATTTATTCTGTACTCGTTCAAGCATGAGACTGTACTTAGTTTCATGTGGAGCCCAGATCACTGCATTGCATTCAAGCTGGCTTCTTACTAAAGCATTATATAGTGTCGTTATAGCTCTCATATTTGTGAAGCCTCTAACCATTCTAAGTACAAATCCTAGATTTCGATATGCTTTCTTGCATACCTCGACTATATGATTACGAAACGTGAGCCCAGAGGTAAAACGAACTCCTAAGTCTTT